GCTGCTTTTTAATACCCGGGCTAAGAGGTGGGGGTGGGGGGAGTGGGGGTGAGGAGTGGGTGGGATGAGAGGGAGGCAAATTATCTGCTTCTTGCCTTGATCGGAAGAAACCTACAACAGGCATAAGTTCACCAGAGAGATAGGCCAGAGCCAGTGCAAGCTTTGAGCTTAAAAAAATTCCGCATCCCCATTTAAAGCCCAAATAAACAATGGATCAGAACGAGTGGAAAGCTGGCAGATAAGTGTAACATAATATTTTAGACAAGTATAACTTGGGCATTCTAATTTTTTGCAAATTAGCCAAGTGACTCCCCCACAACATTAGTAATAACTGTCAAATGGATGGCCATATGACAACACTTTGCCAAGCTTTGCTAAGTTCAAAATGCTAATAAACAAGGCTACATTTGGTTAGTACTTGGATGGGAGACGAGGATTGTTGGCTAGACTGGTTAAAAGAAACATGCTGGAAGAAGGCAATGGCAAACTACTTTTGTATAGTTGTGGAGACAGCTACATGGATGATCCATGAAGTCACTAGAGTTGAGCCTGACTTTAAGGAAATCTGACTTTATAATATACAGTACTGCTTACAATATGTCTCTACACCATGAGGAATCCAGTGAGGAAGTGTTACTTGCTTCGATGGAAATGTGAGAGCCTGTTTGACAGGAAAGATGAATTAAAGGTAACTGCCTCTGATGGCTTCTTTTACATTTTTCCTGCCTAAGCCTGTCTTTATTCTCTAGAAAACATCTGTACTTTTCTGGTTCTGGCAAGGGAAAAAATAATTAAAACAAACAAACAAACTGCACAGAGGAGTGAGGAATGCCAGCTAAGCATTGCCCAGGAAGCCCTTGTAGATTTTAAGCATTTATTTTTAAACCTTTGTTTAAACTCTTGCTCCCAACCAGCAGAAAAGTTTGTCATTTATATGACTTGCATCCTTATAAAGAAAACTGTTTGCTACATCTTCTCAGTTGCCGGCTGCTTTTAACAACTGATCAGAGGGCTCAGGGACTTCCCTCCAACCCTCCCCCCATCATTTCATCTATATAAGGCAGAATCCTCTCTTCCCCTTTCCTTATTCTCACAGTCCCAAATCCAGCGTCTCACAGCTGGGCTGCTGCCACCCGCACAGCTCGGCATTCTTTTGCCTTGTATGGCCAAATCCTTTGGGGTGGGAGGGGACCATCTGGGAAAACTCTCTTTTTTCATTGGCTGCCTCTGCCCTCTGATCCTGCTTTTCTCCAAACTAGGGAGATTAAAACAGCAGCTAATTAATTTCATCCCTTTGCAGAAACGCTACCTAGATCTCTCTGAGGGCTTTTAACAGTTTCTGTCTGAACCAGGTAGGTGCTCTTTCTTACATTTCCCTTTAGCAAGTGGGGGTTGGGGGGTTGATGGATGGAAGGAGACTTTCCTTAGGCAAAACAAGAGCTGATAGCTTCCTGTTATACTAGATCACTTAGCCATTACATCGCATTTCATAATCCAAAATCAATGCTCTGTTGTTCTGCTGCAACAAACTAGCAGTAAGGTTATTCTTCTGGAACATGTTAGCTACTGATTGCTGTACTCACTGCTTTTTGTCATGTTTACCTGTGGTTCTTAACCATGTTTTTATTCAACTCAGTTTTCCGGGTTTGCATGATGCACTCAGCCATAAAATAATTATGTAGGCTTCTGTATAACATGCTAAGTAAAGTGTGGTTGGCTAGTTTGTGGCTCATGTCATGCATATTATGCCATAAGGAGTCCTTGGCACACAGGAGGTTATCAGATTTATAGTGAATCACAACTCTGGTCCATCTATGTCAGACTTCCCCAATGTGATGCCTTTCAGAAACTCTGTGTTGGAAGCTGTAAACATCCACAAATTTGGAGTGCATCAGCTTGGGGATGGCTGATAACAGTCCTTACAGGTGCACATGTGAAACTAAGCAATAGTTTGCTAAACAAATTACAATTGTCTGGATCCACACATTATAATAAGATATGAACTACAGTTTACAAATCTCAGTGGTTGGATTCACGTACATGTTAAGCCCAAACCAAACAAATCATACTAGGGCTAAGAACAATACATGAACTACTGGCTACTTCCTAGCTATGTTCTTAGAAGCAGCATTTCAACCAGGACTGCAAGGATGGGGGGAAAAGAATCCACTTTGCCACTGCAAACAATGTGGGATACACCTGTTTTTTGAGAAGTCTATTTGTTGTCCTTAATCATGATACTGCAGGTCCCCAAACCTGGAAGAAAATTTTCTTCTGGCTAAAGATGTATGATTTGTATTAAACTTGGAGGTCCCATTGAAGGGACCATTCCAGTCCAGCTTGAATCTTTTCATCAGGGGAAGCTTCCAATTACTTCCATTGTTGAACTTCATCTGGAAATCCAGAGCTACAACATCCCTAATCAAGGGCTGTCTAGCCTTTAACTGAATACTTTCCATCAGGGGAAGCCTCCAATTATTTCCATTGTTGAACTGCTCTTTGCCATTAATTACCCAATCTGAGTAAGCAAAGCAGATTAGAGTCTGATGAAGATATCTTTTTCGTACTTTGGAAAGAAGAAACATCCAGACACTGTAGATTCAGGAGCACAGTTTACAAATGTCATGGTCTAAAGCATTCAGACTGCAATGTCGTGTGCACATACAGAACTTTGTAAGATTTAGTTTCAGTTAATATGTATGAGATGGTACTGCTAGCCAGACCTGCAGAGTGCTTCAGCCTGTTGAACATTGAGGCATCCTTGAAGGATGTGTCTGGTACCTTTTCTCCTCAAAACTGATTAAACACTAAGAGTGAAAGCTATTTCAAAGAAACACTAAGAGTTCAGTGACATAGAATTGCAGGACAACAAGTTTGCTAAATCACCTGGCTACCTTTAGGCTAGTCAGAGTCAGCTAAGCTTCCTTTTGGCTTGTAGGCACTAGTATGTTGATTAAAATAATCTTTTGGGAACATGCTTAAAGTTTCATGTTTATCTTGAAAAAAGGCCTCAAGCATGACTTGTAAGACTTGAAGGTGGGTGGATGACTATATTTATTCATTAATGCAATAAGATGTATCCTTTTACATACTCAAGAATGCTTTTTTAATAACACGTTATTATTTTAGTATACATATCTTCTGAACCTAGATCTATTTAGTTGAACTCAGGATTTTAGCAAGCAACAAAATAGATATCTGAAGACTCTATGTCCCCTTGTCTGAGCTACAACAGAGAGAGAAGTAAAAAAGGTATCAATCTTAAGACAGGTCTTTTAATACACTGAGTTCTTTGTCCATATTTCAGACTGCAAATAAAACTGTGTGTGTGCACATGCATAAGTGTACAAAAGTATAAATTTGGATCTAGAAAACCTACAGCAAATATGGGGTATTAGTGTAGTATAATAAACAACAACTGAAAAAGAGCTGGAAGTCTAAGGTGAAGAGACAGCACCTCTGCCTTACCAAATGTCAGTTTTAAAGAGTCTGTATCTAGAAATCTAAGCTTTGTTTATGGTTTATTTATTGAATAAACAGTAGTAAGATGACTTGCTCAACATACTTGGCCAAAATCAAACAAATCACTTTATAGTTTAGCAGTCTCTGAATCCAGCCAATAAATGCCTCTGATTTGGTGCCTTTCAGATGTGGATTAGAAGTCCCATCATGATCAAACCATTTGGGGATGATAGGAATTGTAGTCTATTTGGAGAGAACCAGCTTAGGGAAGGCTGCTGTAGCATACCACTTACCTACAGATTACCTCCTGTACTCTTGAACAGTAGCCAGACTATGGTGGAAACCAATATGTACAAGCTTCATTCCACTGAATGAATCATATGTGGCTAGAATATCTGGTGGATTGTGCCCTCACACATGCAGATACTTGAAAAGCCATAAAAAAATGAACTGCAGCTGAAGAAAACCTTTTACAGGTAGTCCCCAGTTTAAGAACAAGTTCCGTTCCCAAGGTCTGTCTTTACGTCGAATCTGTATGTAAGCCAGAACAGCATTATTGTATAATACTGTATAAATAGTATTGTGTAATTAACTCAATCATTGTGTCTTTAATTTGAATTTTGCTATAATAGGTTCTGTTCTTAACTATAGGTTGTCCTTAAACCGGGCGTTATTAACCCAGGGACTACCTGTATTATTTGGACCACTAAACTGTGCCAAGTTTCTTCCCCAAGTAGTGAAGAACAGCAGTCCCAACAACCATTTAAGGTCAAGAGAGGAAAGCAAGAACTGCTATGGCAATTAGAAGCTCAGGAAGAGGTTGGGGAAGCCTCACTGCCGTTATGGAGTGACAAGAAATGTGTCCAGAGGAAAAAAATAAATGCTCATTTCCATTAGTCAAATTAATACTCTGGTCTATTAACAAATTATGGAAAGAAGGAAAACTCGATATGGGTAATCTTGATCTTAAGTTTGTAATAATCCTTTATCTTGTCCCTCTCCTACATTTTATCAGGACATTTGAGGGGGAGAAGTAGGCAGCTTACATGGGCATCCTTGGTGACCTTATGGGGCACTTCCTCCAAACCATTCCATAAATCACAGAAAAGTTTTAATAGGAAATAATGAACAAGAGAAAGCAGAGTGGGCTGGCTGGAGCATCACAACAAATAGGTTAACAGAAGGTAAATGTGAAAGCATGGAAATCCAGGGCTTTTTCAGACCAGACCAGGGACCTCCTCTGCAAGGGGAATTGCCACAGCTTCCCTGCTCTGTGAAGTGAACAAGGTGACAATGAGACTTTCAGGTTTTACTCTTTTTGTGGCTAGAGTAGCGTAGGAGAAGTCAGAGAATCAAGAAAATAATCAAGCAGAGAGTGGATACTTCTTTGCTTTCCTTTGATGGTTTCCCCTTAAAAGCTGCTAGTTTTTAAACGCTTGCACTTCCCAACAAACATTTTTTATACATTTCTAATTAAAAGCCAAAAGTAGCATTTCAGGTGGCATGAAAAGGTTTTCTTACAGTTTATCTAAGCAATCAGAAATAAGCATAACACACACACAGACACACAATGCTCATTTCAAATGACTTGAACAATTTTCATGCCAAGCAGCAAAAAGCAACTTGATCGCACAAAATTTTACACTTAGTGATATATTTGCACCATTAAAACTGCAAGCTTTAAAGACAGAACTGGTTCAACGGAAACAAAAGTTAAACAGCAACAGGCCAGTTTCAGGCCCTTCAATTGCCCGGGTTGAACTGATCCATCTATGACAATCAAGGCTCTTGATCTGCTCTTACACATAGACCAAAATCCCAGGGTTCCATTGTGGTATGACACCATTGTTTAAGTTTTGCCTTAGCCACAAAAGTAACTGATCAAATTCCTAATATTATTAAGAGCATGACATTCTCTGCTGTCCCAGATTTAGCACCAGATCTTATGCGCTACCCAAGAAATCTATATTTTAAACAGCATCACCAATGGATGCACAGCACACCACAATTTTGCATCATGACAAACCTGTTAAAATGCCACTTTGTACTTAACTACTGTAGCTGGATTTGCATGTTGTACTAAGCTAAAATATGGTTTAAGCCTGGAGACATTTTGCTGGGCTGGAAGTATTTAGCTGAACAGAGAAAGAAGCTGATGTATGGCAATTTCCTTCTTTCTTATTTTCAAGCCAAACTTTGATACAGTAGGCAGTATGATACTGCAGGAATTTCTTAGCCTTTTGCTTTTCTACATCCAGCCAGTTTATAGTATTAAAAATTCTGTCAAGATATTTGCAGGAAAAATATTGGGTGCTTGTTTTGCTTTGTTTTGTTTTAGAAACAGAAATATAGCTAGGATACCAGAAAGCAAAACCTTAGGACAATGTTCTGCAATCTGATAATGTCCTCAGTAGTGGTTGATTTCAACTTCCGTAATTCCCAACCAAAATGTTTGCACTGGCAGGGAGCATTAGATGTGCAATTCTATAAGTATACTGTTTGTTTAGAAATAAGCCCCATTGTGAGTAGTGGAACTTATTCCTGTGGTAAAAGATACAGCCTAAATAATAGATGAGAACATAAGAGTAATGTAGCATTAAATTCCTGCTAAAATCATTTAAAGAGAATCAGTAAACCCTAAAAACAGTTCAGACTGGATGATCTTCATCTTGGTAAGTGCAGTTTAAATATTTGCAATTGCCTTGACCGTGTTATATTTATTTTTACTGTTTCATTATCGGGATTATATGCTAAGATATTGTCATATTAACAAGGAAGCAACCTAAACAAATCTTCATGATTATTCCCTGAATTTTTTTGTGGGTATACAAGATATATAGTCCCTACTTGACTGAGAAAATGTCTGTAGCATAGCCAAGAACACATCACA